TAATCCAAGCTTGATTGGTGTACAAAAAGGTGGCGATTAGCGACGTGTTTGGCACGACAAAAGCCCGATGAAACTGGCGGACAGGAAACGCCACTCAGAAAAATTGGGCTTCAAGGTGGCTCAGGCTACCCATAGGCCTCTTCTCCTACGTGCCACTATCTTGTTTCTTATCAGTTAACACCGGGTTCCAGATTTGTTAATTAGCGGCTGATTGTCGCGTAAACGTCGATCACGATTTACGCGGCTGCCTTCACTGTCAGCCTGATAAAGCACACCGGTTCGGGTTCAATTAAAATTCCCTCCTTGCTGCCAGTCCGCGATATCGTCTGATGACACTAACAGCCGCTAATTGCCGTTCAAGATACTTGGCCGGGGGATAAACATGTATGCGAAATGTTCCAACAAAGCGTTATTCGAATTGCGTGTATATATGCAGAAAATATATATTCGAAATAACGAGGATCATTGTTCATCTGGTTGAGTTCGATTTTAAGTGTCGTCTAGTTTAAAATCATGGAAATCGAGTCGCGTAGGAAAAATTTAGCGAGCTACCTTTAATCTATTTCAGTGATGAAGTGTTCGAGCGATTGCATAGGGAGAATTTTCATCAAGTATCGCATTTATACGTATACATATATATTATACGTTTGACAAACGAAGAAATTGAAATCATATCGATCAAACGATCACACGAAAAATACTACACATAAGAGTTTGAAGAAACGTAGGAGAATCAGAAAGGCTTCTTTTGAAAAAGAAGCATCGTCATCTTTAACTATTATAATTTCTTACGAACCAATTTACTTAGTTCTCCATAATTGTAGCCATTTTTCACAATCATCCTTACCATTTGGAAGTCTTGGTTGAAAAGGAAATGGATTCGGCGATGCCTTTGAACTTTCTTAGAAGCATAGCGTGTAGTGGGTGTCGAAAGCTCGTCCCCGCGCTTGTTCATCAAGCGTGCACGTAGCTTCACCGATCCATGGGTGGGGGTCCGTCAGAGAGATCGAGGAAGGAAGGGAAGAGTGCAGAGCACCGTATACTCTATTCTCTATGCCATGGTCCGTATGACGAAGCTGTTCATGATAATGCGATAGTGTTGGTCTCTGCTTAGCACTTGATAAAAGATAGCGGTGACTGAACAGATGCCAGTACTCACCCGCAGCCCGACCTGTCGGTTGACAGTCTCGCGTATCTCGCCCCGTGTGGATCGGTGCATCATCCACGGCGCACAGTATTGCGATCCGCGCTCGCGTTCCTCGAGAAAAGTGAGCGTGAATCACGAAAATTCGAAGGGACGGACGAGAGACGCACACGGGATTGTCGAGAACCAAGAATCGAGTCGTCGAAATCATCCTCCTCCCCACGGGTTTTGGATATTTGCTGGGAGTAGATCAGCTGCGTGATCTGTGCGATGAAAAAGTTGTCGGAGCACTGAAGATGTCGGGTGGAAGCAACGAGTACCGTTTCAACAATTTATCCATTGTCGTTCGAGAAGATCGTTCCCCGCAGAGTTTCGTAAGATCGACGAAAGAGGATCTTTCGATAGGATGATCGCTGCGATCCAGTATTACTTCAAGAAGATCCGCTGCAAAGCTTGAGCTCGTCGAGCGTTGCTCGGCAAGCGACGAAGTCGTTCGAATCTCGAATCGAGCCGCTTAAACCTCAAAAAAAAGGAAGAGCAAGGATGCGGAGCTATGGCTAGAATACAACGCGATGATTTCCGGACAGTGAGATTGAACGTGAACGTTAATCGATAAGGTATCCTCGAAGACGTTCAGTTGTTTGAGAGCTCGTTGATCAACGTCCCCGGAGACATCGTCGGTGAGCAGACACTCGAGAACGATTTGAATTGAACTTGACAACGATCGTGATTGAAAGGGCTGAATTGGAAGACCAAAGGACAACGTTTCTCGTGTCGAATAATGAGAGGCTCTCGGTGGGATTGTTCGAAAGCTCGGCCCGAAGGCGTGCACCACCAAAGAGAGCGTACCACCACAGCCTCGAATCATGCATGATGAGCGGTGCGACTAGGCTCGATCAGGATTGGATGAGAATGGTCGAGTTACGAGGTGGCACCGGAATGACGAGCGGACTGAGCGGTCGGTCATCGAGTCGTCTCCATTACACGATACTCACGATTTTGGACACGGTATTCTCAGCCACTGTGGCCGCACCCGCGGTGGTCGGTTACTGGAGAGGTACCTGGGGTTTGAGCGACGTCTACGTATATCCGGAGGATCCGGTGTTCAGCAGTTTGACCTCGATAGTGATCGGTTTTATAGGGTTGTACGCGTTCAATGTCTCCCAGAACGTTCTGAACGAGCTTCTACACCCGGACAAACACAGATTGTCGTACTACGTCGGATCAAGGTTGTACACAGCCGTTTTCGGGTTTTGCTGCGTAAATGCGTGGCGTGGCGCGTGGCAGGCCCTCGACCTGTACACGGAACACACGGCGAGCACGGTTTTCGCCACCACCATTGTCAGTCTTCTCGCATTGGCGATCATGCGTGCCGTGAGGAACATTTCCGCGCCACCGTTCTCGCTTTGCTTGGATTCATGTCCGGGATACTTCGAAGTGCAGACCATGTTCCGAGTGAACGTAAGTAATCGAAAGTATCACTTTGTAACGTGACATCGAAACTAAGAATTATTGTTATTTCTTAAATTGGGACGAACTGACGAAGATGGAGTCATATTCGATAGAAGAAAAGTTACGCGTAACGGAGAGTGTAAAGCTTTCTCATCAACGAATTTTTCTTTCTAAAAATCCATTTTCGCGTTCTATGTTTACGATTCTCTAGTTTTTCTCGGTTCATCTCGCTTAGT